TTGATAATTGAGTGAGTCTGTTGCTGAGATAAGAACTCAGCAATGAAGCTACTTGGCAATGTAAAACAAAATTTTTGACTGCTGCTTCTCAACTGGTCGCAAGTTTTCACCTGCTTAATTTCTTTTACTTTCACTTTCTTAACTTACTTTGATCTTTCTCTTCATCACTTTGCCTTATTTCAGTTTAAACCTCGCGAAACTTTTTCAAGTAATAATTTCCAATAGTATACTATTTCTATTACTGTTCTGGCATATATTTCATGATTTCTGCTTAATGACTATTTTTATGAAGAAGAAATCATTCTTACCCATAATTTTTTTGTATTAATTAATTTGTCTTTTTATCATTTTTATGTCGCTAATTTTACAAATTTTGTTTACAGGGAGACTGGCTGCAGTTCTCTGATAATCAGTTACCGATCAGACACTTACCACAACAGCCGCATTACGTTGAGCCAACCTCTTATCAACAAGTTTGTTTGTTTTCAGATTTATATTTGAAAGTATGCTTCATACCTTTGAAACTTTGTTTGGATCTAGCACAACTGCATGTCCGATTACTTGTCAGGACATACAGAATGAATGATTTGTTCGGAAATATTTTATGAGAAATGCAAAGACTTGCACAAATCCTGAATGATTTTGTTAAAAGAAATGGAAGAAAGCATTAACAAATCATTTCACTACATTTCAATTGGCTAAAATATGTGCAAGATATTTTACATGCTGAAAATTACAATTGACGCCAATTACATATGTCAAAATGCTCAGCTGAAGATAATAAAATACGACGCTTATTGTCTGCTTTATTGGTGCTATCAGTCAAGTATCAGTTTAGTGAAACAGTTAATAGCTTTGGAATAATATTTTGCAAACAACTTCAACTTCTACTCCATATTATTGCCTGATTTAACGTTGCTACTCATATCTTTGACTTCTAATTTCATTAAAGACTGTAATAACAGATTTGTAATTAAGCAGTAATTAATAAAAATGCGTAGTAGAGCTGTTGTTTTAATGAAACAAAAATAATCATATATAAGTAATTATGACAGAATACTGAAAATAATAGTAAAATAATCACTTTAATCATGCACTGCATTCTAATTACAGTCTAATTTGTTATTTGTCCACAGTATATCACTAGTTCCATTTAATTACGTGATTAATTTTTTTCACACTTTTCATCAATATTATCGATTTTTATTCCAGTCATTGCGCTCTTTTTCTACGATATGCTTAATGATACTACAAATGAATAAAATTTTGCTTTCAGAAGCACAGCAAGCCACAAGTGCACCACGTTGATTACAAGGAGGTAATCCAATTATGAAATTAATTTTGTAATGCACTTTATCTTTTCAAGAAGTCGACATTTCGATCCAAAATACTTTTTAATAAATTAATACACATCTTTATCGATCATATTTTCAGCTTGAACTTGACCAACGACCATTTAAACAGCGGCACTTACAATCGAAATCACAATATCGTGATAAAGTTGGTTTAACTATAATTTTATGAGACTTATCAATATAATCGGAATCGTTAAAGTTAGAAACAGTACATGCATTTAAAGTTGCGAAACTGAAAAGTTATGGGTAGATGCAAAACATGAAAGTAAATGTGATGAACTGAATCGCATCTAGAGTTCGTTTTTGTTTTTGCATTAAAGATTTATTCTAGAAAATATGAGTCATTTTTCGATACTTCAAGCAGCTCAAAACTCTGACTAATTCCTTTCTTAATGCTTTCTCGACATTTCAGTTTCTCGTACAAAGTTTTGAGGCATTATATCGTAATGCAAAGTTTTGATTCTAATTATTATTAGTTATTCGCAGTCATAAACTTCCATCTAGAGAGATTCCAATTCAGGAATATTCCGACTGCAATAAATTTCGTTGTTAATAGCTTTTATCTTTCTGAGAGAGATATAATAATGAATAAAGGAAAGATTAATGGATTTTCACACAGTTTCACATAAAACTCATTAGTGTATCGCAATAATTTTCTGCTCAAATATTCTGCTTAGGCTTGGCGTCATTCTAAAGAATTTCATGCTTATAATTGGTCTAGTTTTGTCTCTAAGAAATTCTAAACATTAGGAAGTAAGAGTGATGTCATCTAAACGATTGGTAGTAAGTTTAAGTGATTACTAATAAATGACGTCACGTGCAGGATTGTAAAAAGTGACGTCACTTGGATTTCGGTGATAAGCTTAAGCCGATGACTTGTGTAGTAAAGTAGTGAAAGAATTTGAATTTTCATTTCGTTCGCTTTCAGTTCGCAGTCAACCGTGCTATAATTATTGTGCTTCCCTACAACCCTTTCAGAATGCAACTATGTGTTTTAGGCTTGGTGGTCTGTAAGAAGTTATATTAGTTTTTGAAATTGGAAGTATGTGGTTAGAAAAAACAAGTATAGATAAAATAGATGAAGTCAAATATTAAAAAATTGAGTAACTTATGTAAATGAACCTTTCGATGTGTAGTAGGTTCGCTGTCCAAAAAATTGTTCGAAAAACTTGATATTTATCTCCTTTGAGATCCGAAATAAGGAATATTTAAACAATTAGAATAATTTAAAATGTTTGCAAATTTATGAGTAATTATCCGTAGTAAATGCAATTATCTAAAGGAATTATTTGGGTAAAATATTTTAATATCTATGTTGAAATATGAAAGTTGTCATTATTTTTAAAAAGTAAGCAATGCTATTCATTATAAGCTGCAGTTTGTATCATTACTAATTATACCAAATGATTTAAATATCAGATTGAGGAGTTTGGAACAGGATTATCTCATTCTTATCAGCTTCCTTCACCTGCACAACTGAATTCACAATTGCAGTACCAACAGCAATACCAACAGCATCATCCACACTTAGATTATTCTGGAAGAAATCATTTCAATAGTGACATGTCCTTTGTAGAACGAGTTGCGCCTCAGGTAAGTAAACATTTATGTAATTGTTGATTTTTATAAATTGCATTTGAAAAAATTTTTTTTCATCACATCACTGATTCCAAATGATCCAGTAGTGAAAACGAAAACAAAATAACAGTGTAGTAAAATTCTTTAGGTTTTGCGTCTGTTTATCTTGTTTTTAATTGTTTAACTAAGTTTATTGACTGCAGTTATTGTTTCTAACAGCTAATCTCATGAATAAAAAAGAATCTGATTATAGCGTGTATCTGCTGGAGGTCAAGATTATGCTCTTCAAAATGGGCAGTTGAAGCAGCAGATACGAACCCAAAAGCCACCTCAGTTTAACAGTATTCCACCTTCAGCAACAGTTAAAGCTGGAGAGTCAATCACATTTACTGCTAGGGTTCGTATTTCGATCATACTCAAAATAATTTAGGCATGTAGACGTACGTATAAAAAGATTTTTTTAAAGGACACCTTTTCGTACTTTATTTGCATTTGCATTGCAGCCATTATGAATACAATGAATCTTGAACTTTATTCAAGTTGAACAATTCTTCCACCCCAAAAATTAGCTACAGTCAGGACAGAAATGATAGAACGTCGAAAAACTTTATCTTTGCTAGTTTATATATATTCAGACATCCGATCGACCAATACCACATTTAAATTGGTATCGCTCCGACGGTAGTCAGATCACGACAGATGGACATTATGTTGTAGAGAACTCTCTTGATGGTACTACTAAGCTAACCATCAACAAGTGTACAGCTGATGATAGAGACACTTACTTATGCATAGCAGAAAATAATGGAGGAGCCGTGCAAATACGTTGCTCTCTTAATGTAGTCGGTACATGTTTGACGATTAAGAATTGGGATTCTTATAATCTGTAATAAATAAAAATATCAGCGTAATTTAAGGGTTTTCGCTGTTCTAGGTCTTCAGTCTCAAATTTTCGATCTTGTGATGTGGACATAATTTTCAGAGCAGAAACCAAGAAGTGCTCCGCAGTTTGTTGGAAAATTTCAGTCTGTTACAATTTATGAAGGAGATTCCTTGACACTTTATTGCAAAGCAGTAGGTGAAAAGATTCGGATGAGTTGGTTTAAAGATAGTATACTTTTGAAAACTGGCGGTTCGTACAAGTAAGTTATATTTTGTGTTTATATATAGCACTAAACTAATTTTAAAACCTATTCCACTCTTCAAGTTAAGGATACTTACTTAGAAATTTTTTGTTTAGGATTTGTTCATGTTTACTTTGGTTTGATCATATCATAGGTTCATTTTCAGGATAGAAGATAAAGGAAACGGAGAATCTACACTGCAGATTCTTAGTGCCAAACTTGCTGATGGTGGTTGGTATCAGTGCAATGCTACAAATGAGTCTGGAACTTCATCTCTTAAAGTTGTTTTTGATATTGTAACTGGTCAGATATGCGAGAAAAAATTTAAAATTTTTGTTACGAAGGATTTAAATTTTTGAATCAGAGTTTTTTTAGTTTAACTTATGAGAGATTTTCGTTGCATGTTTAATTTAAATTTGTTTGTAGGGACGTGTGGTTGTTCAGACGCGTCAAAAATTGGATTTAGCAGATGACGGTATTAGAATACGAAAGACTGATCGTCGTATGATTAGGTCTTTTTAATTTTTACCACTTAACATTATAAAAAAGCAAACATTTTCGACACACATATCTAATTGCTAGTGCAGATTTGAACTAAAAAACTTCAGATATGGAGAAAGACTTCAAAGTGACACTAATGAAGTGCGAGCGACTTCTACACAACTACCAAAGTTCTTGAACATGATCAAGAACTTAAGTTTGGTTGAGGGTCAAGCCGCTTTACTCAGCTGCACATATTCGCCACCAGATGATCCAAACTTGAAAATAGCATGGCTATTGAATGGAAAAGTATTATTTCATTATTATAGCATCATTATTTTTTCTAACTAGAAGGACTTGTTTGATTTGTTCTCTCTTTATTTTGTGACCGTCAGTTACTGGAAATCAAATTTATTAGGCTGTGATGGCAAGTTCTCGTCTTTCAACTGTAACAGATCATGGTTATGCAGCTTTGGAAATAAATCCTGTTACTGTATTTGATAAAGGGGAATATACAATAGTAGCAGTAAATACGTTGGGTGAAGCTCGTCTCTCTGTATTTGTAGATGTCACAGGTGACTCTGTTAGTCTATAAAATTCATCTCTAACTATTACGTTGTGTTTTCTGTTTGTTAGTCACTGTTTTTAGTTTGTTACTCATAATAAAATAAGTGAGAAGACGAAAAAAAAGGAATGCAGAGGAAGATAGAATATAAAATTAAGATAAAGAGACTGTTATTCATTATCTTTTTGTATTTACGAGGAATTTTCAGGACATCGAAGTGCTTTGACGGACACTTCAAATGTAATTCTTTATGAAAGATCTCAGAATAGTAAAATTGCTGAAATGCCGAATTTCCATACGGAATTAAGATCGATGGAAGTTTTTGATGGTCAGCGTGTTCATTTGGAAGCGAGATTTTCACCAGCAGATGATCCAAATATTAAAATATTGTGGCTTTTCAATGGAGAATATTTGAAATCAAGTAAGTGTTATATATATCACTATTATATTTTTTATTTTCTTACTTATCAGGGAAATAGTTTATTGCTAAAGTCATTGAGCTACCCTGAGATCGGCTATAAAGAGTGAAAATGGAAAATGTGTATGTGATACACTTGAAAATGATGAACTAGTTATTTGAATTAATGCTTGTAGGCGATAATATACAAATATTAAACGAATATGGAATCGTTGCTTTGGATATTTTAAATATTACTCCAGCAGAGGCTGGTAATTATACCTGTCAGTTGACTAATGATGTGGGTACTATGGAATCGACAGCTACCATACTTGTTCAACGTGAGAAAGTTGCCTAATTTTTTGAAATTGTTTTCAGAAAGGTTGTAAAAAAAAGTAAAGTATTTTGCCAACGAAATTACCACAAATTTTGTATGAAAAGTGGAATAATCTTCATTGGGGTTATTAGAGTTAGTCTACTATGTTACATCATACTCTTTTCGTTTGCTGTGAATAATAATTGACTGTCATTGTAAAGTACTGTTGAGTATAAATCTTTATTAATCGTACTGCAGTACAAAAAAATTCTCAGAATGCTATATTGTTCACTTATAAACTCATTAAAATTTATCTTTGCATTTCATTTTGAGATTTTTTTGCAGCCGGTATAAAAGATTTCGTTCAGCGAAATATAATAGATGTGGACGATGCCCGCGAGCTTCAACAAGAGCTTGATGCTTCATCTCACGCTCCTGTTTTCGTTACCAGTGTTGGTTTTTATGAAAACAACGTCAACATTTATAACAATGATTCCGTATTATTTGTTTTAAGGCCGTAAATTTTCTTATATTTTCGTGCTTACTTTGATTCTTATTTTTGTTCCTAATATTCTTATTTTATTTTGTTCCTATTTTTTCATTCATTTGATCCCTTTGAAAACTGTTGCAGTTATCAAATTTTCACTGTGATCAAGAGCTTGGGCGTTCATATTTTGAAGCACGCATTACTCCTGTGAATGACCCCACATTAAAAGTAATTTGGCTAAAAGATGGTCGTCCTCTTCTTGTTGCAAATCGGATTCAAGTATGTTTAATTCTTGAATTCATGAAATCACAGTAATTTGTAGTATCATGTGAAATTTTCTTTTATGTTAAATGTATAGTGTTTATATCAATTTCCTAATATTACGTAGAGTTTACAGACGTTCAGTAATTTTGGTTTTGTCTCATTAACGTTGAATCCAACATATCCCGAAGATGAAGGCACATATACATGTATCCTAAAAAATTTACAAGGTGAAGCTCAGAGTGTTGCGCAGCTTACGACTGTACATACAGCCAATTTACAACTGAATTCTAAACATGAGCAGTCCTTGGCACAAATTGGATATCTTGAAGGCCAGCAGGTACATTAACTATTCTTTGTAATGTTTGTCATGTATTTGTTTTTGCAAGTACTATAAAATAAGATTAATACTGTTTCTACGGAGTTTCATGAATTTTTCGAGTTGAGTTTGATGTCTTTGAAATTTAAAAATATTGGAATAGAATTTTGCAAAGACATAGACATGAGTTATACTTAATTTCAGATTCACATCGGACCACCATCTGTTGAAAGACCTGAAGAATCATTCAGTATGGAACAGCCACGTTTCGTTCGTCAGCTAGAAAGATTTGTGGAAGTTAACGAAAATGAACCGGTTCATTTCGAAGCACGTATTTTGCCTGCCAGCGATGTTAGAATGGTTGTTGAGTGGTATGCTGCATTCCTTAATTAGATAAGATGTTTTACATGAAGTTCGTACAGTTAGAATATAATCGGTATTGCGAAGTTCTTATGAAATAAGATTTTGTGAATGTATATAATCTTTTAATTCTTGATATTTATTTCAAGAATTTGTTATAAACAGCTTATAAGATTCTTTTTCTTATAAATGTATCAGGCTTTCAAAATTTTGCTGGAGTTGAAGAAGAGATATAGAAATGAGCTATACTTTTATTTGTTTATGTCTACTGAATCAATGTAGTTTTAATGGATTAACAACAGTTTTGCATTTGTAAATTTGGGTCATGTTCAATTAATTGTGTTTTGTCTGCAATAGAAACATTTCTAACTTGTCCTTTTCTTCTTTTACTCATTTTGTGCTTATGGATCTCTATTTTATAAATAATTAATCGTTAACTAAAATTTTGAGGTACCACAATGGAGCACCGTTACCCGCAGCACACAGATTCAAGCCGATGTTTGATTTTGGTTATGTCGCTTTAGACATTTTGTATGCTTTTCCGGAAGATTCAGGAGTCTACACTTTAATTGCTAGAAATGAGTTGGGTGAGGTGCAGTCAAATCTGGAGTTAATTGTAAACTCAGAAAAATCTTTGTACCTGGACGCGCATCATCCAGAAGGTATCTTGAAATCTAAAAATTTTTAGAAGTTGTTCGTTTGATTTTTCTTTAAGTCATTTTAGCGCTGTCCAAATTTTGAACATTGATACTATCAATGTTTATAAATGATCTCTTCGTCTACTTATTTTATTTAGGGTTGAGTAGAATTCAAGAATTGGAACAGAGTCGCATCCGACCTCTAGAACATCCAAATGATCGTGAGTGTGATCATGAACCTCGATTCATAGGGGATCTCCATGATTTAGAACTCAATGAAAGTGATGATATCCATTTTACCCTGAAGGTACATCTTTCTGAGTTAATATAAATTGAATTTTCAATTAATAATGTGATTCTAAAAACAAATCAAAAACTTTTGTTGAAGCTGGAACCTGTGAATGACCCAACAATGAAAGTAGAGTGGTACGTCGATGGACGTCCACTTCTGGCTAGTTCACGTGTCCGAACTCAATATGAATTTGGCTTTTTAATGGCTGAAATTCAAGGAGCTATCGCAGAAGATTGTGGAATTTACAGTGTAAAAGCGACAAACAAACTTGGTGAAGCAGTGAAGCAATGCGCAGTATCCGTAAGACGTTGGTTTTTCATATCTTTCGCAGAACTTTTTTATGATTCCACATCGTTCTCTTGTGTGATACAATACACACGGAAAAAGTGCATAGAAATTGTTCGTGTCTTCAGCCCACGTAGCAGTACTTTCGGAGACGCAACATCAAGAAAGTTTAAATAAAATTCATCAGATAGAAAGCTCAAATAAGTACAGTCGACAAGAAGTAGAAGACAAAGGTTCCCAGGTATATATATATATATATTACTTATATCAAAAGTCAGACTCTCTTTTTTCATCATCATTTTTTCTCTTCAGCATTCATTAAATTCTACGCCGAATAAAAAAAAAGTTTTTTAACTTAAAATCACAGTTTTCGACTATTTTATATCAGAAGTTCAAGTAGCAATTGCTTTATTTTAGTCGTATGCATTAATTACTTATATTTCGTAAATAAAAACGGTTTGCAAGATATGAAAGTTACAGTTTCATTCTGTCTTATCGGTTAATAAGAATTTTATTCTAATTTTGTCTTATCGATGGTTGAAGGAGCCTCCACGATTTACAAAATTACTACCAGATGATATTGGTACTGTTGAGGAAGGAGAGCCACTTCATTTAGAGTGCCAAGTAATTCCAGTGAATGACAACACTTTAAGCATTCATTGGCTGAAAAATGGAAAACCTATCCCTACAGGTTCATTCACTTCAATTTAATAGTATTTGCATAATTAGAGATGTTTTAATAAAACTATAGAAAAATGTTTTAGGGCATAGATTTCGTGTCTTTCATGACTTTGGATTCGTTTCTCTGGATATTTTGGATGTATATGCTGAAGACTCAGGCACATACACTTGTGTTGCAAAAAATGCATTTGGAGAAGCAACATCATCAATTAGTTTCATTTGCGATGGTATTACCTGCACCTAGATGCTAAAACTAGTTGTCCTTAACTCTTTTTTACCTTATTATCATTTTAGCTAAAGAACGAGTTTTGGCTCAAACGCACCATCCAAGTAGTGTCGCTAAGATTCAAGAAATCGAAGCTCCAAAACCGATTCCGAAGGAATCACCTGATGCAATAAAAGAAGTAAGTTCAGTTATATATTGTCACTTGTTTTCTCTCCAAAAAAATAAGCTTTTAGTTGATATTTTTGTCCAATAGTTTTGGTCTATTCATTTAGTGTGTGGATGTTTTCATTAAGAGTCGCAGTTTTCCACTATAGAAATGCAAAAAAACTTAGGATTTGAGATTACACGTAGGATTTTCGTGGTTTCAAGTTTTTAAATTTTGTGTTAGCTATGATTATAAATACATTCGGACATTATTTTTTGTAAGTTTTATATGAAGCAATTAATTTTGTTTTTTGTTTTTTTGACTTGCTGACATTCATTGAAGCGTGTAAAATTTGTGAAAGTAATCATATTTTTAGGTCCCGAAAATCATTAAGCACATTAGTAATGGTGAAATGATGTATGTTACTGAAGGAGATAGTGTTAATTTGGGAGCGCAAATCACTCCTGTTGATGACAATACAATAACAGTTCAGTTTTACACGATAATGTTTTACTGAAGTAAAAACGATTATTTTTTGAGTAATTCATTTACTCACATATTTCACAAAGTAAAAAGTTAAAAATTTCAAATGTTCTTGTATTTTTGTGCGTTAAATTTTTCACTTTTCTGAAGTCGAAAATGTACTGACTGTATTGCAGTATGAATGGCTCTTGAATGGTAGACCATTGATGAAAGCTCATCGCTTTGTCCTAAGTCATGATTTTGGGTTTATTGCGCTTAATATATTGTACATGTATCCAGAAGACAGTGGTACGTACACATTAGTTGTCAAAAATTCAGCCGGTCAAGTTCAGTCTGTTGCTGATATTGATTGCAAAGCTAAAGGAAGCATGGTTGGTCATTTAAAATTAAATGTGTCGGCCAGTTTGTCTTTCCATTTTCGTAAGCTTGTTTCAATTTCTGTATTCTAGCCCAGTTTGTTTCATTTATTCTTTCTTAGCTGCTGTAATTTGTAAAAAGTTTCAGATAACAGAATCATTCCATCCGAATTCAGTGCAGCGAATTCGTGAGCTAGAAATGCCCTTACAGCCAGCAGATAAACATCCAGAAGCACCTCGAGTGGCTCCAAGAATTGTACGACCATTACCACCCCAAGTAAATCATGTGCACGAAAGTCAAACACTTCATTTAGAAGCGCAAATTTCACCTGTCGATGATAATCAGCTTGAGGTGAGAAATGAGATTCCATTAAAAATTTGTAATACATGGTATTTTGATTGGATTCTTCTCTTGTCAAGTAGACAAATAGTCTGAAAAAACTGTGAAGCATTGTGGAAAAGCGTTATTGAGATTAAAACTCGGATTATATTATTTTTTTGAAACATGCCAAATGTTTTCATTTAACAGTGAAGTGTCAGTTTTGAATTTGGTTCTGATAATGATGGAATCTTTTATGACTCTATACTGTCCTCAAACTGCATGCAAGTTATCAAAAATTAAATTTTTTATAGGTTTACTGGCTTCACAATGGACAGTCTTTGAAAGCTGGGAGCAGATATCGCTTAATGAATGATTTTGGTCTTGTATCGTTAGATATTGACTATATCATCGCTGAAGATGCTGGAACTTATACATTGGTAGTTATAAATCCTGAAGGTAACGCTAGTTATTCATTAAAAAGCATTTGTTATAATAGAGTTGATGTATTGCTCCTGGTTAAAATTACTATAGTTTTCTCCTTATACAGGTCGTGCTGAAACAAGCACTCAATTCGATGTAGAGCGTTTAAAAAACATCTATCTGGAATCTGAACATCCTGAAAGTTTACGAAGAATTCAAGAAATTGAAGCGATCGAACCAGCTAAGCCATCTGAAGAAGAAATTGTTTTTGAAATGCCACATTTCATACAGTCATTGAATGGACCGAAAGAAATCCTTAGAGAAGGGCAGTCAGTGCACATGGATTGCATAGTTGAACCAATCAGAGATCCTAATCTGAAGGTGTCGTGGTTTTTAATTTCTGCTAGGAAGCATCAGCCGAAATTATTTTTCAAATAAAATCTCTTAAATTTGAAAGGTAAAAATGCGTTTGCACTATGAAAGACGTATTTTTGTAGCAACTCATTCTAAAAATTGTTTTTCCGATCTACGAGTTTTTTCATTTGTTTAACTTGTATGATTTCAATTCCATTAGTTTTGATTTCAGTTTCAAGTAAAAGTTTGTAGATTGAATGGTTCGTAAACGGTTATCCGATTATGTTTGGATCACGTATCCGGACAATGCATGACTTCGGTTATGTAGGTCTCGAGTTTCTGCACATTCATCCTGAAGATTCTGGTACTTATACATGCAAAGCAAGTAATGTAGCCGGTGAAGCGAAATCTGAATTTTTCATCGAATGTCAACGTTAGCACTAATAATTATTTGTGATAATATTAAATATGAGTGAAAAAATTTTATTTTCACACTTGTTTATATCAAAGAATATTCATCGTCCACCGACAATTGTTGCATCAAATTTAAAATAGTCTTGCAGCTCGAAGAAACGTATACCTCGATACTCAGCATGCTGAGTCACTTACGAAAATACAAGAGATTGAAAGTCATAAACCGATACGAGTACCATCACCTGAACTCTCCTTCCCTCCTCCAACGTTTACTGAACCTCTGCAAGTAAACATTTTCATGAAAATCCGAAATACTTTGTAACAGTATTGATTATACCAAATACAATGAAATACTTTGTCCATCAAATTCACTGTGTATTCGTTATCACCATTGTAGAATTTGGATGATGTTGTTGAAGGCGAGAGTGTGCGATTGAAATGTAGATTACAACCGTACAATGATCCAACTTTGAAAGTATATTGGACTAAAAACGGTCTTCCATTGCCAGAAGGTTTCTAAATTAAAAATTACAGATGTTTACAGTATTAAATACATTTGTTTCAAACTTATTGAAAGATTTATCAATATTTTTTTGTTTATTCGCAAGTTTTATGATTTTATTTCTTTTAATATTGACTGACTAAAGATTTTGAAAATTTTTAGGACTTTGGTTGCACAAAACTTAAGTAAATGATCGTTGACTGTCGTTAACTTGTGAATTATGGAGAGTTTTTTAGTCTGATAATCATGCTATTACGCTCATGTTTTTAGGAAGCCGTTTTATGCCGGCTCATAATTTAGACTATGTAACCTTGGATTTGCTTGCTGTATATGGTGAAGATTCTGGTATATATTCCTGTCGAGCAGTAAGCGAATTCGGTGATGCCACTACTTCATGCGTTATAAAATGTCAACGTTAGTTATTTCACTAAATTCCCTTTGAACTTTTGAGGAAGTCATTTTAAAAATTTTATTGTGCATTTAGCATCGAAATCACTGCTTTTGGATACTCATCATCAAGAGTCGTGGAATCAAATTCAAGATATTGAAAATCGTCGGCCACAAGAACCTATTTTTGTTGAACCGGAGAAAATATCACCGCATTTCGTAGTACCATTGCCGTCACACTTAGGTGAATTCCATGAAGGTGAACCTATTCACATAGAAGGACAGGTAGATGTTTTAAAGTTGTTAGAGACAATATTCTAGAATGTTGTCTCAATATGGTCAGAAAGAAGCTTATTTTGCCTTGTTTCTCGAAAAGGATTTTGAAGTCCATGAGGTTTTGGTGCCTTAATGCTTTTTATATTGAAAGCAGTGTCTACTCGAAAAATAGTGTCAATAATATAGTTAGTTTTGCTAGAAAACTTTGAAAAGAAATAAGTCAGATTTACTAGGACAAAGGAAATTTTAGATTGAGCCTACTAATGATAATCAACTAACAGTAGAATGGTATCATGATGGACAACCGTTAGTAAATGGACATCGTTTCCGCAAATCTTATAGTTTTGGATATGTTTCTTTGGATATTCTATATGCTTTTCCTGAAGATGGTGGAGAATGGACTTGTGTAGCGAAAAATAGCATGGGCAAGTTTTTAGAAAAATTGCTTTAAATCGAAAAACCAGAAAAATCAGTTTCGTATTCGTGCTACGGTCACTTATGGCAATGCATATTAAAGATTTCTCAATTTTCAATATAGGTGACGCTCATTCCACTTCAACATTAAACGTCATTAGCAAGAAGGTAATTTACGATGAAAGTCAGCATCCAGAGAGTTTGCAAAGAATTCGTCAGTTTGAAACTCCTAAAGATGTGCCACCAGAGGCACCAGAACTGAAGCCGCTGTCTCCGAAGTTCGTACAGCCATTGCAAATCATTGAAAGAATTGAGGGTCAACCTGCTCACTTTGAAACAAGGTAGTGCTGATCAAAATTAACAGTTACATATTTTGTGTTCCTTATCTTTACCCTTGATTAATTTGTGTGGTTTTATTAGGCGCACTATTTTTTTTTTCTTATTTTTTGTTTCAATCATTTTTAGATAAAGGTAAATGATATTCACTTCATGGCTTTATATTTTTCTCTTATTAAGGGTGACTCCGATGAATGATCCAAAAATGAAAATACAATGGTTTAAAGATGGTTTTCCTCTTCTTAATAGTAATCGATTCCACCATACATCTGATTTTGGATTCATCGGCCTCGATATTACATATACTGTTCCAGAAGATGCGGGCACATACACAGTTGTAGCAACTAACGAACAAGGACAAGATCAAGTAGAAGGGCAGTTGTCAGTTGATACCAAATCAGGTTGAAGAATAGTGTGGATTTTCAAATAATGTTGACTAAGATTTTTGCGATTCTATAAGTTTTATTTTTCAACTGTTTTCAGCCATCATTAGTGATACACAACATGAAAAGAGCTGGCAAAAAATACAAATGTTAGAGCAGCCAAAAAAGAAGTCTGAAGAGATAACAGAAACTTTGTTTGAGCCACCTCATTTCACGCGGCACCTAAACTCCATTGAAAATCTTATCGAGGGTCAACCGGCTCATTTCGAAGCAAACTATAGCCCAATTAATGATCCACAGCTAGTTATTTCGTGGTATGTTTAAAAATGTGTTCAGTTTCGAAAATTAGTGATTTTAGCTCTTTACGCAGGATGAAAGGGCTGCAAGCAGTATAATAAAAAACAGTACATTGATCGCGACCTGATTGTAAAACAATAATATTACAAAGTTTTTCTAATATTTGTATATTTAGTTCAAAAAAACTTAAAAGTGCTAACATCTTTATGATTTTCTACTAAACAATTACAGTCTTTGTCATTAAATAATGTTCTTGATGTTGAGAATTTTTATGAAAGAGTTCATGTCCTTTTTTATACTGTCTTTTGTTCTTATATGATTTTTTTGGTTGATTTTCTTTTGTATATATTACGGAGACTTTCTCTTTAAAGGTTTCGTAATGGCCAACCAATCGCTGCTTGTAGTCGTATTTCCATGAGAAATGAATTTGGCTTGGTGACTCTTGACATACACTATGTATTACCAGAAGATATTGGTGAATATCGTTGTTTGGCTAGAAATGCAGCAGGTGAAAATGAAACAGCGTGTAGCCTTGAATGTCGAACTCGTGCAAGTATTTTGAAAGATGTACAGCATCCAGAGAGTTGGAAACGCATTCAAGTACATCATCATGATTATTTTAATATTTCTGTAGTTTCATAAATCTGTGAATATTAATTGCATCAAGCAATTAATTCATTGCACTTTTGGTTATATTTACATGCAGATTAGTTTTCAGGAAATTGAAGCACCTAAGGCAGCTATGGCAATTCCAGAGCCAGTAATTCATGCTAAACCAACTTTCACTCAACCTTTGCAAAGTGTGAACGTTCAGGAAGGCGAAGTTGTTCTTTTAGAAGCAAAAGTTGTGCCAATCAATGATCCAAAATTGCAAATTCAATGGTAAATTTCCTAGAGTCCAAATACTGAACTACTAATTGTATATGGATAGTTTGCGCTATAGACACTAGTTATTTAAAAACCGTGCCAGTGCAAGTTTTTGCTTGTAAAACTTTTAAATTATGTGTAATAGGTTTCACAATGAGTCGCCATTACAACAGAGCAGCTGGCATACAGTTACTAATGATTTTGGATGTGTCACTTTGCGCATTTCGCCTGTTTATCTTCATCACTCCGGTGTTTATTCATGTAAGGCTGTGAATGAAAAGGGAGCAGCTATTACGAGTGCCAATGTCTCTATCTCAAGTAAATATTTGTTGTGCAAAAATTTATTTATTCATACTATTTGTAAGCAATGTTTTCATGCTGTGTTCTGGTAATCTCTTTCTAGATAGTAATATTTACTTAGGCGCTAGCAATCTGATCATGGATACGCAACATCCGGATTCGTTAAAAAAGATCCAGGAACTAGAATCAATCGATAAAAATGCTAGGCTAGAAGCACCAGAAGTTGATTTCGGCAAACCAAATTGGATCAAAGTTTTTGATAATATTGATAACTTACAAGGAGGTGAAATTATGCAATTAGCTGGATATTTGGAACCAGTAGGCGATCCACATCTAAGGATCGAATGGTATCACAATGGCGTTCCGTTACAAAATTGTAAATTTTTTTAAAACTCAAATAATATCTTGCTTTTGAATTCTAACCTACTTTTTTTAATTTTCTGCTTTTGGGTGATTTTTCTATGAAGTTTCCAATTTTCAGCAAATCGATATCGTCATGATAATGATTTTGGAAATGTCACTTTAACAATAGTATATGTTCTCCCAGAGGATTCTGGGTTGTATACATGCAAGGCCATCAATAATCGAGGTGAAGCCGCAACCAGTGCTACAGTCAGAGTTGATGGTTAGCTGTTTTGCTTTTTAGTATTTTTTTTTGATATGTTTGATTAGTAACAAAAAACTTGATGCACTCTGTTTGAGGTTATGAAACAATTGTACGTGATACACAACATCCAGTATCTTGGCAAAAAATTCAAATTTTGGAAGCACCTGTGCATGTAGAAGAAATGGAAGAAGTTGTCGAGAAAGAGAAGCCACGGTTTCTAACACAACTCGAGTCAGTAGCTGACGTACCGGAAGGGGCGATCGTGCATTTGGAGGCGACCTTCCAACCTGCTCGAGATCCAGATCTTAAGGTTCAGTATCTAACGTAGTGGATCATAAAGTCTATATCAGTGACTGCTTTCTTAAAGCGTATTGGCTGTACGCTTGAAAATTATTTTTGCATTTTCCCTTTATCTAGATGTCAATTTTTAAGACTTTTTAAAGTTCACATTTGCATTTTCTGGGCTCAATGCATAAATCAGATGTCCTTTCTGACTTCAAGTAATTGAGTCTGGTTTGGTATTTTTACAGGTAGTGTGGTTACATAATGGGCAACCATTGGGCGCGAGCCAGTTGGTTAAAACACAAAGCGAATTAGGATGGGCTACTCTTGACATCGGTGGTGTTAATTTAGATCATAACGGCATCTATACTCTCAAAATTATTAACAGTGAAGGGGAAGCTGCTTCATCTGCATCGATTAAGGTCTGGTTGTAAATCGCGTTTGAAAAGGAGCTTATTTAGGATTAAAATTTTTTATGAATGATTGGAGTTCATTTTTTTTTAATTGATTTTGACAAGTTTTTGGAAGGATAAAGCAATTTATATTAGGTTGCTGGTATTGGTGATGTCTTATTTGAGACTTCACATGAGGAGTCATGGCGAAGGATCCAAGAAATTGAAGCACCGAAAGAAAAAACGCCAGGTAAATTTGACGCTTACCAATGTCTTATAAGAACTGTACATTCATTTGCATGTTTTAGCTAGATATGATTTACTATTTCATGAAATTGTATTTTTAGGTTTTTAATCGCAATTTTTTTTTCTAATTTTGATTGCAAACTTTTTTTGATAATTATGACATTGCAGAACCACCACCACCGATTTACGAAGCTCCATCAATTCATGAACAAATCTCTGATGTCGAATGCAGTGAAGGAGAACCTTCACACTTTGAGGCAGTTATCGTTCCAACTAATGACCCTAATTTAGTAGTTACTTGGCTTCGTAATGGCCAGTTATTAGCACATGGTTCAAAATATGCGATTTCCCAAGATTTTGGCTTTTGCACTTTGGATATTGGCTACACGTATCCTGAAGACCAAGTATAAATAGTTTTTCAGAAATCTAAATACCTATAATAATTACATTTCTTTCGCTTCTTCATTTTATTTTGAAATAATTATATGGTTGTATTTTTCCTGAAACGTATGTTTTTCAAAATTCAGGGAGTCTATCAGTTGCGTGTGTCCAACGAAAAAGGTGAAGCAATCTCAAGTGCTATATTAAAGTGTCATGCAAAAGAAGCAATATATGGTGACACACAGCACTCGGAATCATGGAGACTTATTCAGGTTTTTTTTCAATAAATTTGTATCCATCATCTAGTTTTTGGTTTACACTTACGTCTCTTTAATGTAGATCAGCTAACTTTTTATTCAGGAATTAGAAGCTCCGAAAGCACCAATGCTTGAGATGCCACAACCTCCAAAAATGAAACCTTGTTTCTTGTCACAGATTCAGAGTCCTGGTAATCTATATGAAGGACAATCAGTTCATTTTGAAGCCACAGTGGAACCTGTGGACGATCCTGATCTTGAAATACAGTGGTGTGTACTTCTTGATAACTGAAAAGTCATACTGTTTCGAGAATGAGATTCTTTTAGTTAAAACATTATTCGTTACTGCCAATTTTTTTCGTAAAATCTTTGGCTATTTCAGGTTTTTGAATGGAGACTTAATATCAGCCAGCTCTCGAATCAAAATGATCAACGATTTTGGCTGGGTAATCATGGATATAAGTGGAGTGGAACCGCGCGACAGTGGCGAATGGACATGCGTTGCGTCAAATAAAGCTGGTGAAGCAAAGTGTTCCGCTATCATTAATATTTTAAGCAAAGAAAGCATTGTTCGAGATTCGATACAACCTCAAAGTCTTGACAGAATCATAGAAATCGAAACTAGGAAACCCGCACTTCCAGAGTTGCCACCAAAAGTAGGTAAAAGAAAAAATAATTAGATATAGAGAAGTTTCTCACCATAAATAAAGAACATTCAATCATTCATGCATTCAAGTTGTGAAAGATTGTGGACTTGTAGAAATAGTTTTAACTGTATTGTCCAATTTTGATTTTATTAAATTTTTTCGTAATTTTTCCGATTCCAGGTTTTTGAAGCACCAAAAGTTATTGTACATCTAAAAGAACCTGTGAATCTCAGTGAAGGTGATAGCACTCATTTTGAAGCTCAGTTCACTCCAGTTGATGATCCGAAATTGGAAGTTGAATGGTTTAGGGACGGTAAACCTTTATTCCATGCAAATCGATTCAAAATGGTTCAGGATTTCGGCTTTGCAATACTTGACATCTCACACCTTTTTGCGCAGGTCTTACTATTCATTGATATGTTCACTATGCTTGACGTTGAATCAAACTGCTCTCATTGTCTAGCTTTACACTAGAACTTGCTTTTGGGGATGCCATATTTTGTGCATTCTCAAAAGTCTTTTTTCGTTTCAAATATCATAAATATCTCGCAGTTTATGTAGTGGTTTGTTGTTTTGCTTTCTGGTTGATTGATATACATTTTCTTCGACATTCAGGATGCTGGTGAGTATACTGTCAAAATCAGAAATGCTGTGGGAGAAGCGAGTTCGTCAGCATTCTTGAAAATTATTCCTAAAGAGAGTCTTTTATTACAGCCTCAGGTGAGATCAAAAATTTTTCCACAAAAAATTAACATCCAATGAAAATTTATCATGACGAAATTTTTTTATGGACATGCGAATAATTTACTATCTGTATTGTTAAGTTTGAATGCCTCACGTTGTTTAAGTGTGATAACATCACTGTTCAAAAGTTTTCGTTAATTTTGTCTAAAATTGTCTGTGAATGTGTTTCTTGAAGTTAAATACAATATGCTATGAAAAAACGCATGATTTTTGCTTAAAAATTTGGTTATCTCTGCAGAAACCAATAAGGATAGCGTGTAGTTTGATTACTTACTATGTATTATCAAATACTTCTCGATCTCATACTTCACTGTACAGATATAGTTCGCTAGTGAGTCATGGGATATGATATTTAGTTGTTATTTTAGGACGCTGGTAAAGCAAAAGCAGTTGAACAACTAGAGTATAATTTATATATGAAACCGGAAAAAAAATCTGTAGAAGAACAGAAAACAGTACCAGTGTTTATTGAACCTTTATCAGCTCCTCTTACATGTGAAGAAGGAGATCGTGTTCATTTCACTGCAAGATATGAACCACTGAACGACGATGAATTACAAGTCAGGTTTTCGATATGTCATCCACTTACATTTTACTACAAAGTTATTGCAAATAGAATAATTAACTTTTGCTGATACATTTACTTGTGTTTTTTGCAGATCCAGTGGTATTTGAATGGGAAAACATTAAAAACTGGAAGTCGTGTCAAGACAATTCATGATTTTGGTTTTGTTGTACTTGAAATATCGCCTACATATCCAGAAGATTCTGGAGAATACACATGCCGTGCTATGAATAAGGTAGAGAATATTCACTCGCTGCTTTCATTTTTTCAAAGCATCCACATTTCATTTTTCAAAGCATCCATAATATAGGTTTTTGTCCATTACTTTGTATACTAACAGTTTCAGATTGGTGAAGCAGTAACTAGCACGCAACTCACGTGTGAACCAAGACAAAGTATTATAACAAAGTCTCAGCTTCCAGATAATATGTCTGGTGCTTATAAAAAAATCGTTAAAATCGAAGCACCGAAAGCGCCTGATCTCGAAAAACCTGATATTGATTATGAACCACCAAAGTTTATTACGCAGCTACAAGTAGGACTTTATCTCATGAACTAGTTGTATGGAGAATAGTATCCCAACAATTTCTTATTTATTTTCGTTCTTCTTTTTCAGCTTAATTTCTATTAGCTGGATAAAATATCGTGTAGTGTGTATCTTATTTAGGAGTTCCCCGAGTTAAACTTTTTAAGCTGAGAAAAACCTTCGATTATGCTAATAACGAAGAATAGCTGAAATTTTCGAAAAAGTAGCTGATCTTATCAAGTACAAAAATATTGTTACAGTCTCTCTCCGATTTGCTAGAAGGACAAATGGTTTATCTAGAAGTGCGACTGGAACCCGTTAATGATCCTAATCTAAAAGTTGAGTGGTTCCATAATGGACAACCTGTGGGTCACACAGCGCGCATGAGAACAATCCATGACTTCGGGTTTGTTGTTCTAGAGCTAGTACCCGCTGAGCCTCAAGATTCGGGTATCTGGTCATGTCGTGCAACTAATCAGAAGGGTTACGATGAAACATCTTGTAACATCCAGGTAAATTTCAAGCTTTAATTCAATGTCTGGATACCAGACATCAAGATTAGTATACCACTCAACATTAATTTATATAGTTTATGATGCTTTGATGTTTGTATTGCGATTAAAAGCAAAAACCAAGAAAGCACTTTATACCTGTCCCATTGGATACATTTTTTAGGTACGTGGTACTGGTGGCATTGTTTCGGAATGGCAAAGTACTGCTGAAAGCAAAAATCGCATTGAACAGCTTGAAAAGTATATCCATCGCCCAAAAGAAGAATTGGATCAACCAATTAAGGAGTACGATGCACCATATTTCACTCAAGATCTTACTGATCTTGGAACGGTATAGAACTCAACATTTGTACTAGTAGTGGGTTTCTTTATTTGTGTACGGGACAATCTTATTAAATTTGTTTTCAAGCATTCACTTGTAACTTTTGGTTAGAAATGTAGAAGCAACATTGCTTAAAATTTATGGTCAAATAATTTTGTTTTTGAAAAATAGAAAATAGAAATATTTCTCTCTATTCTTGATATTCTCACGAGTGCTTAGTCTGATATCAGTCCAATATTGCTCACTTTTTTCATTGCAATCGTAATCAGCTTTGCATTCATAGCCCATTATTTCAGATGAATGAAGCGGAAGCAACTGCTTTTACCTGTGTGTTGCAACCAATCGGTGACCCATCACTTCGTATTGAATGGCTTCATAATGGACATGTTATGCCTTATTCAAACAGAATACAAATGTCAAACGATTTTGGTGTTGCTACATTGCTCATTAAACATCTTATCAGTGAAGATAGTGGAGAATATAAGTACGAAATTTGTGCTGCTAACTGTGAACTTTTTCAGTCGCGATGCTTTTTAAATTAATCGGATAGTTTTTCTAAAGATGTACTATATATTTGTCATTGACACAATTTTAACTCCAATATCGTATATTTTTGTCTCGGAATCACTAGAATCCAAGTATAGCAAGGCAAAATTTGGAAAGTTTCTTTTCAGATGTATTGCTCATAACTCTAAAGGGCGGGCAGAAACTGTTGGCTACATTAAAGTTGCATCAGTCACTCAAGTCGAAGCACCTAGAATACTGCAACCCTTGGTTAACACTATCGATGGTGTCGAGGCATGGTTTTTGTAGAAATTATTCGAAGTTTAAAAGTTTGCGCACTGGTTTAGGGGCACTTCGTTAGTTATTCATTAAACTGCTGTTTGTTGAATAATTAATGAAGTATCTCTAGACCCTGTGTATAAAAAAATTTATCTTCTCTTTCAGCAAGGAGATTCGATTCATATGGAATGTCGTGTTACACCTATCAATGATTCTAAATTGATAGTGAACTGGCTCAAAGACGGTGAACTACTTCCGGAAGCCTCACGTTTGAAGGCTCGATGCGAATTTGGTTATGTCACTTTGGATATTTTGTATGCTCTTCCAGAAGATAGTGGAGTGTATGACTGTGTTATTATGAATGATCAAGGAGAAGCATCTACTAAAACACATGTTACAGTAAGGAAATTTTAATTTTTACTGTAAAATTTACTCTTGAATTTTTTTTAAATTCTGATTTCAAAACATTGTACTCGTATACGTTTCGAAGCATAATTTTGCAAAAGATAATGCAAATTTCAGCACAATTTTTTAGGTCCTTTCGATGCCGAAACTAGAGTTTTCACCACAAGCGCCAAGAGCTAATATTGAATATCTAGAAAACCATTTGCGTCAGCATACTGCAATGGCTTTAGCACTTAATAAGGATGACGCATACCAAGAAGCTTTGAAACGGCCTCCTGAATTTAAAACGAATTTAGCAAATATTGGCGTTGAGGAGGGTGAATATTGTCGTTTCGAGACACAAATTGCTCCAGTTAATGATCCATATATGAAATTAGAATGGTTCAAAAATGGAAAACCTGTTTTGATTGGTATTTTTTTAAAGTCATCACTAAATATTATTTCAGGTTAGAGATATTTCAAAGTGTTGTTAGTGAACTTGAATGGCGGTAGTTCTTGAAACAGCTGATGAGAAAAATGTTTTCATGATCAGGAAATTCATGAATTCAAGTCCCATTGTTCACAACAAAATATGCTGTGAACGGTATTTTCAAATATTGTTACTCTCATTCTGGTATTTAATGTTATTACAGGGTACCGATTTCGATCAATGCTAGATTATGGATTTGCATGTTTGGATATTCTTTACTCTTTACCAGATGATACTGGAGAGTATACTTGTGTAGCAACAAATCCTTATGGAAAAGCATCAATTTCAGCGAAATTAGCTTGCTCTAGTTCCAAACACATTATCACTGAAAGCCAGTTACCACAAGGTCTTCTTGTTTCTGATGTCAAGAAACTTGGTGATCAGCCATACTGGTCTGTCTTTTTCTTTTGATGATTTTTTTACCGTGTTATCTTTGAGGAAACATCTGAAATGTCTCTGTAGCTTTTTGATTGAAAAAGAACATTTTCGATTTTCTACTTTCAAATGAAGGTTTGTTTCCAAGTTATCTTCAAAAAAATGATTTTAGGTCTGAAGAAATTGGTGAAAGACCTCGTGAAAAGCAAGCACCAAAGTTCACAATTAAACCGATGAATATCCAGGTTGTCGAGAGTGAACCTGCCAGATTTGAGTGCGCAGTAATTGGTAATCCAAAACCAAAAGTTATATGGTACATCAACGGAAACCAGGCCATCCACGTAAGCTACTTATAATGGAAGGAACATCTAAGATTTTTTCATCCAATACTCATTCTCACAGAAACCAGTCAAAATTATATTGAGGCTTCCTGCTTTTGATAATATTACAAGTGCTGACTGCAGTACCATTGTATTTACTATGGTTTTATTGCGCGAAGATTTTCAAATTTCTTCAATCTGGCATAATAATTTCATCTCATATCGTGTGTATAGTGACATATGCAGTTTTTAAGTGTAATATATATAACAGATTCGCAGTATCGTAGTTGTCCCCCGGAATTTTGATTAAAGCTGTTAAAAACAATTGGTAATAGTGATAACGAAAATATCGTAAGTATTGTTTATTTTCGCTCTTAAATCGAGTGGAATTTCATCTTAATTTTTTTTTCAGGGAAATAGATTCAAATTAAATTATGATGGAATCTATTATTTAACCATTTTGAAAACGAGAATTTCTGATGTTGGAGAAGTATGTGTTTTCATACTGTTGAGTCTTTGAAAATATAGCTTTATTTTCATATGAAATAACTATTTGTATATATTTAGGTATTGGCAATAGCAAAGAACTCGGAAGGAGAAGCGATGGCTTCTGCTATGCTAGATGTTTATCAGAAAAAAGATTTCCGACATGTTAAATTAAAGTCAACATCTTTCAAAACAATCGATGAATTGCATGAGAGGGAGTTGGGTTGGCAAAAAGTAATGAGCCTACTAGATTTTGTAGTTCTTTCAATTAATACCAGTATATAAAAGGGATTTTGAGAAGATTTATACAATACTTTAAGGAAACTCTTGGCTCTCTTGGGGATGCGTTCGAAAAGGCGCCAAAAGGTAATCAGCAGAAACTGATGCGAGTCGAGCGATCGAAAACACCTATTCAATCGCTTGAAAGTGCAGAACTTATCGAGAAATTCACTAGACCTAAGGATGAAAAGTTTTATGACCAACTGAGTTATGTAAGTCAATATTTATTTGAAAGATTTTTTGTTATTGGATTACACAAATATGGATTTTTAGTGATAAGTAGTTTAATCTTTTTGTTTTTTGAATTATCTTGGAGATTATAGCACTTCTACAATGCATTGCTTAACAAAAAAAATGACATTCATTGTTAAGTAATACTTATTTTATATATGTCTTAATTTTATCTCAATATAAGTAAAATTTTGTGCAGGTTGAGGTTACTCGTCCTACTTTCGAAGGCATGAAACTTGAAGAAGTAGCTTTGAGGGCTGGTAGTATTGCAAAATATGAACCAAAGAAAGAAAAAATGGAACGAGTAGAACTGAAAGCTGCTCCTAAGGTAGAAAAAGAACCAATAGCAACAGGTGCGGGTGTATCTAAACCACAATGGGCAGTCGAAAAGAAGCTTGGAAATGTTGAATCACGGTTTGTTTTCTCCGTGGATTTCTTGGAAATTTAAGATTTAGTTCGTATTCTTCACTAATTTTAAAAAAAAAGTTATTAAAAAAATTAGCGGCCATTGTGCATTAGGGGCCATTGTTAAAAATTTTTGTTGCTTTTAACTCTGTTTTCATTGTTCAGTTTACGCAAACCAAGTTGAAAATATTACCAACAACTGGTCAATAATTGAAAAGTACACAAATGATTTGTCATCCATACTAAGCTAGGATGAAATCTTGAGACGAATGGAACACAACAATACTTCAGATTCCGTAGACTTCCTGAACCAGAGATAGAACCAGTTGTGCCAGCACGTGATCAAGTCAAATTTAAAGTCGCGAAACCAAAACTGGCTGCTGAATTTCCAACTGCACAACACGTTGAAATCGACAAAGAAAAAGCGAAATTGGCGTTTGTAAAACAAGGACCGAAGATAGAAAAAGAGGTGAACATAAATTTTTCCGGGATATTTTTGCTGTATTTTTTGTACTGAAAATTCATATCGACATTTTTAGATTGAATTGCCAGCAAAAGATCAAGTAAAGATGAAGCAGAAATTCCAGCCAAAAATAGTGAAACCATTCGAGTCACCAGTTATTGAAAGTGGTCCTTTGAAAGAAACGCCTGTCGTTGTTAAAGCGTAAGCTTGAGTTTCAATTTTTCGGTAACGTCTAAAGCTTAGCATTTAAATAAAAAATACCTTGAGTTATTTAACAAGTCGATTTATGACTTTCTGTATTCCAATTGACGTGAAATAAATATAAGTAAAAATATTTTTGTGTGCTGAAGTTTACATAGTTGAACGTGTTATAAAAATAATTCTTTCAACTTTTTGCTTGAATGTTAAGTTTGAAGCGTTCTTAAAACTATGTATATAGTTTTCAGAAAATATATGTAGTTTATATGTATTTGGAATTAGCATCAAAAAAGCACGTTGTTGAGACATTCGCAAGACCAGAAAGTTATACTTTATATATAAAGATTTTATCAGTACCTAAAGTAACAAGTTCGCTTTGTTTCAAATATACTAATTGATTCTAAATTTTCAGAAAGGCTACAGAAATAGTGGTGCCATCGAAAGTGAGTATTACTTTTTCTTTTGTGTTGCATGAGATGAATTTTTGTCTGAATGTTCGTTTGAATTTTCTTGCTTCTGTTTTTTATCACAATAGTTTTCCTGGCGTGTCACAGGATTTGCATGTTTTTTACCTTAATTATTACACATACTGAATATTTCCTGTGTGATATAGATACTTTTGAATTTTAGAAGTACTTATTTGCACTGAAAGTGGTTTCTGATAGAACTGGAATTAGCATCAAAAATTGTAGATATTTTTTCAGTTGATTCTCAGGTGAAATATTTTTTCAGTTAAAGTATGCCTTTGACAATACTGTTGAACTAATAATTCATTTGATGGAAAAGTATTACTAATTTTTTGAAATTCTACGAAAAGTATTATTAACCTCTTTTTGAACATAACCGCTTCAGCCCACCATATTGTATCAGACATACCATGAACGATCCAAGCATGCTGTTGAGACACTAGCAAGACCAGAAAACTTCAAGGTTGAAGATGTGGAAAATGTCACTTACATTCGGGACACTCGATCTCGAGAACGAATTCAAGGCTTTCGCATTATTCGACGTCATGTTGTCAGCTTTTTTGCAAAGTCTTTCTTGCTAACTGTATTTCGAGAAAATACTTGCATTTTTCTTTCTTGTTATTGCAGTATCTAGTACTCTGTAAAGTTTCTAATCTGGTATATTACTAAAGAACTGCAACTTAAAATATTAAAAGAAGATGAAAAATGTTTTTACAAGAAAATATTGACATTAATTTGATGGTGAAATGACTCTAGTTATGTGCATTGTTTCCATAAAATATTATTTATAGTGCGGTTATTTTTTTTTTTGACTTGATCTTAAAACAATCATTTATCAAGTTTAAAACATTCGTGCATGAGTTGCTTTCTAATGTTATGAAGAGTTATTTCTAATAAGTTTGAACCTTAGAGATGTAGCGGAAAAAAAGATAATCTTATGGAAAATAATTTGTGTGGCTGATGATTATTGATGATTATAACATCGAAAGAGCAGTAATCACTTTGTATGTATAGTTGAAAGATTTTGCAGTGCTTTACTATAACTTATGACACTTCATTTTTAATCATTAAACCAGAATATATCTTAGTACAGTTTTATAATATATAACTGGTAAATTTTAGCCCCAACCAACCAAATTTGGACAAACTCAAAAAACAGCACCACAAATATCGCAGCATCTTAAACCATTACAAGTTGAAATTGGACGCCGAGCACAATTCAGTGTTCTGTTCAGCGGTGATGAGCCTATTACTGTACAGTGGTTCTTAAATGGCAAGGAGATTAAGCCCAGTTTCGAATTCCAGGTTTGTTGTATACTGGTTTTGAAATTTATCACTATCCTTACTCTCTCGTGTTTTTATTTCAATTTAAGAAATTATATCTCGGAGCAATATCTGTGATTATTCTTTCTAGATTGCTATTACTTCAACGAGTTCAACGTTAACAATAACAAAAGTGAAGCTGGAACATAACGGTGAGTATGTGTGTCGTATCACAAACGTAGCGGGTGCTCAAGAATCTATGGCCAATTTGATGGCAGTCCCAGTGATAGATCGTGGAAAAGCGCCTGAATTTAGACAGCGGATGAACGATATTAGTGTGCCTCAAAATGCTATCTCCCAATTCAAATGTATTGTTATCGGGACACCGGAACCGACTACCAGTTGGTTCAAGGTGATTTTTTGGTGTATTAATGACAACAATATAAGTACTTTTGATAATATAAGTGTAATTTACTTTTAATAATATTTTATGCTATTTTCGTAATTTGGCTTTGGGAAGGAAACAAATTTCATAACATAATGGACATAATATTGAAAAAGAAGTAACCACTTTGTATGTATTGTTTGTATAGTTGTTTGTATAGTTGAAAGATTTTGCAGTGCTTTACTATAATTTAAGACACTTCGTTTTTTATCATTAACCAGAATATATTAGTACGGTTGCATAATATATAACTGATAAATTCCAGCCTCATCCAACCAAATTTAAGTTGTTCCAAATTAAGTTATTTTTTCTGCTAAGTAACATATATCATCGTAGTGATGCAAAGAACGAAACAGATGTTAAGTTATTGCAGTATTGAAATTATAGGATGGCAAACCTTTACCAAATGATGCTCGATATCAAACTCTAGATCACAATAATGAACATGAATTAATTATCAATGACACTTTACCTCGGGATGCCGGCATTTACGAATGTGTTGTGAAAAATATCGCTGGGGAAACCAGGTAATTTTTTTATACAAGTATTTTACTTATATTAATGTCATGTTCGATTTCTGTTGCAAAGATTTTCTATAAAGACAATGGAACATTGGATAATTTGATGAGCAGTATTGTTTTTTATATTTCATCTCCTGAAATTCACTCGCCTTGTCGGATTCCAAATTTTTCAGGTGTAAAGCTCGTTTGAATGTCATACTAGCAAAAACTGGTAAAAGTGCGGAGAGTGGACCACGATTAGAAGCACCTCGATTCCAAATTCAGATACAGCCTACTGTAGTAACTGAAGGTGCACCAGCTGAATTCAGGGCTAAATACTCAGGTTCTCCAGGTATTATTTTCCCATTTTTGTCAGGCTGTTTGGTAGAAATCTCAGTGGTTGTAAAAATTTGTTTTTATAACGGAATATGAGGATACATCACATGTTTCTTTTCAGAACCAATGATTCGATGGTATCGTAATAATGAACCCATCAAAAAGAGCAAGTACATTGGGATGAGTCAAGATAAAGGAGAGGCATTTTTGCGCATCTCACAGTGCTACCCAGATGATGTGGCTGAATACAAGTGTGAAGCAATTAATCCTGCTGGTAGAGCAACTACCGTTGCTAATTTGCTTTTGCAGCGTAAGTTTTTAAATTATGTTTCGAAATTTGTAGGAAATATATCAATTTTCTTGGTCAATTATTTACAGCAAAAGGTGGCGTCGTACTTCGATCAACTACTTTGGGATCATCTTCCGCTGCTGGTGATGCACCAAACGAAGGTTTTACGCAAACTCCTCAAATTAAAAAGGGTCCTTCGGGCATTCCGCAATTTCTTTCACATCTGTCTGACATTACTGCTCGATCAGGTAAATGACGTTAGCAGAAAATGAATTGGAAACGCTGGTGAACTTGAAAGCTTTGATTATTATGATCTTTTATTTCATTTAAATTTATCTCAAAGTCAATTCATTAGATGTAAACATAAAATCTCGGAATGTATTATCATGCAATTCCCTTATTAGGTCACACAGTGAAGTTCGTTGCTGAAATATCAGGTAATCCACAACCGACTGTCACATGGCAATTTAATGGAAAACCAATCTATGATGGTCGCAATAACAAGGTTTCCTTTGATTTTCGATTGCTTTTGACATCGTGTATTTTTGAGAAAGTTCATCACACTGTTTGTTCGTTTCGCTGTATATTTATATAAACTAATCACATATATAGAAATGTGGAGGTTAGTTTTCGTCTTCGCTTTATTGATTCTGGCGCTAGATCGCATTCCGACACTCCGGCTGTACTTGTCCCACGCTCAGATTTGTTGTATTCATCGTTTCTGCGTTGTTTTCGTGAAATCCATAACGAGTATCGAATAAAATGCTTCCGAGCGTCTTCTTGAGAACTATCAATTGAAAGTACGCCTCGACGTGGTCTGATATACTAATCTCCTTCGCATAGCGTTTGTGGAAGTTCGTTACAATCCCATCCTAAGTCAACACATACAGAATTTTCATCCTGCATTTTATCTCTGCTCCGAGTTTATTAGCCAGAAAATTCATGCTTTCGCTTCTTCTCCGTCTTGACTGTCCTGACCAGTGATGGCAACTTCTATCAAGAGTACTTCACGTCACTTCTTATCGTATACCAGGATGTCCGGTCGATGCGCTCTTATTCTAATCGTAGTTCTTATATTCCATGGGTATCATTTTTCTGATTTCTACTTCTTATTATCGACGATTTCTTAAACGATATGGTATTGTAGGAATGCTTTTAGACCATACTTTCGCAGAGTCCTAAATGGATACGTCACATTGACATCATCCTGCCTTCTATAATACAGTCGTGATATAACATTCTCTCGCACTGCGTTGTTAGAGGAATCACCGTCTTCATGCGTTCCCTTCAATGTGGGCGCATATTTTTCTTACCTCTGAACACCTTTTGGTCTTGAAGATAATATCGTGCTTTATTTTGTGAGGTTTCCGAATTGTGTATAGCTTTGCAGGACGAATTTTTTTTTCCATATCGCAAGAGCGCTTTCTAGACTGCTAATATGGTTGGATTTTCTACGATGTTGTATTTTTCTGAAGATAGGGTGTACTAAGTGCTACGCACCTGGTCATCTTGCTGGTTCCTGGTTCCGCTAAACAAGAAGAGTGCTCTCTCACATTCTTCACGGAGCACAATCTCTTTTGTTTTCTCATTATTTTCGATTATGATTCCAGATGCGGTTTTTTTCTGTTCATCGTCCATCTTTTCAGATTTCTAATATTCTGACTGTAAAACAACACAGTATTCTTCTTTTGGATTTCGTACTCTTCTTGCAATAATCTTTTCTTCCTCTCTACTCATCCCATGCATATCATTTTTCTTAATTCTTTTTCCTTGTTTCGTCTTCGTTGATTTAGAAGTACTGCAAAAATGGGTTGTATAAGCATTATTGCTACGGTCTTTTATTTCTTTTTGCTTTTTAGAAGTCGTTTGCTGATCTCATTGATCTTCAGAAACGCGTTTTCAGCCATGACATGACTGATCTAAATTGATTGCTGGAATGTTCTATCGTGTTACAGCCATTTCATTTCACAAAACAGGAAATGGAGGATAAACAAAAAAAAAAAA